TCGGTGTCCACCAGGCGGGGGCACATTGCAGCCACCTCATAACCACGCGTCCTTCCCTCCAGATCTGGTGCTGTACTGTGAGGCCTTCCTGACCACCTACAGGACCTTCATCACCCCCGAGGAGCTCATCAAGAAGCTGCAGTACCGATATCCTTTCCACTCCCACGGCACCGCGGGCCCAGAGCTGGAGAGGGGCATGGCCACGCAGGGCAGCAGGCAGGGAGGCGGCCCCACGTCCGGCTTTGGGGCCTCAGGCCTCCTTCCCACCTGCCAAAGGGCTGTGTGAGGTGTGCTGTGCCTGGGACAGTGAGGCCGCGGGGGCAGGTGGCAGGTGGCATGTGGTGACGGGTGATTCTGAAACCATTAGAATTGACGCCCTGAGGGCGGGAACGTGGAGGCCCCTGCAGAGACCCAGCAAGTGGGCACCTGCAGCTTCTGAGCTGAGCTCCAGGGCGTTGGGGTGATAGTTGCAAATGTGCGGATGAGGGAATGAGACTCAATTGAACAGCCTTGGGTGGGCATGGCCACTCCGCCTGGTGGCAGACGTGGCTGTGGACAACTGCACGTCCACGAAAGAATGGCTCCTCCCCCTCCACATCCGCCCACGAACCACCTTTCCCAGGACCACTGCCTGCAGTCCTGGCCCAGGGCCCATCCTGCCCCCAGAGTGGGCCAGCCCAGGGTCCACTGCTCCTTGGCCCCGTCCTCGAGTCATAGCCCGTGACTGCCATCTGCTGGACAGCGCTGTCACTGGGGTAGGAAGTCTGGGGCTCCAGCTCCCTCCCATCCTGTGTGCCCTGAAGCATCCCCTGCTGGCCTCCTGTCTCCCGCACAGCGTGACTTCCACTCTCCCCTTGCCCTTGCCCGAGGTCCTGGCCCCTCGACCCTGAAGTGGACGGTCCCGTCCACAGAGACAGGCTCCCCAGCCTCACACATTCAGTTGCTCGCAGGCTTGAAGCAACCAATATGCTGCCAATAGGCATACGCACGTCCTTCCCGACACTCCCATCACCAGGCGGAGCGGAGAAGGGTCTGCAGGGGACGCAGAAATGTGGCCCTCGAGGCAGAAAGCGTGGCCTCGGGAGCTGCTGGAGGCGGTTGGGTGTGAAGGGCTGTGGGGGGAGGCGGGGTGGGGGTGGGCTCTGGCTCTGGGAAGACATGGGAACTCATGGCAAGAGCAGGAAGCATGTCTGGGCTCTGCACCTCCCCGCAGCCAGGGCTCAGGCATCTGCTTGTGACCACTGTCCTCTACTCGAGGCTCAGCCAGGCAGCCCCTGGCGCTTCAGAAAGTCTAGCAGGAACCGCGGTTGAACCCGACAGAAAGGTGGGCCTGGGCGAGTGGTAGAGACGGTTCTGCGGGCAGGAGAGGGAGTGGCTAAGGACAGTCTGAGGTCTGGGTTGACACCCACTTTACAGGCCTGTGCCCACCCACCCCTCCCCCACCAGTGGTGGCAGTGCCTCACTCCGCTCCCTGGCACGTGGTAGCCCTCAGTAAATGGTAGCTGTCCCCCGTCCCTCCGTGTGAGAACAGCTGTTTCTTTAACCCACGCTCCACATACGAGAAGTTCTCTCCCTTCGCCGACACGTTCAAGAAGCGCGTCAGCAAGAACACGTTCTTTGTGCTGGTGCGGGTGGTGGACGAGCTGTGGTGAGTGCTCGGCCCTTGGATCGCGGCCACGGAGCGGCTTCTCCCCTGCGTTCAGCATCCTGTGACGTCCCACCTGCTCCTCCCCGGCTACGTGCCCACAGTTCTGGACAGGGCGCCCCCAGCCTGCTCAGAAGTGACCCATCCCCGCAGGCCAGCCCTGGCCCTGCCCTGATTTCCAGCGGGGCCATGCTCTGCCCCCTCCTCGCGCTCAGGCTGCAGTTCCATTATTGGCAGAACCCATCACGCCGGCCCTTTCCTAGGCTGGGAAGGAAATGCCCGGGCCCTGCCTTCCAGGTGCTTCCCTTCTGCTAGTGCGGAGCCTGGCCTGTGCCCCCGGCTATGGCGAGGGCCGCGCACGGGAGGTGCTGAGCGTCCTGTGGCATCGAGTCTGAGGCCAGGACCGTTAGGGAGTCCTCCCCGAAGAACCAGGAGCTCCTCGGGGCAGGGCTTCCCGGGGGTTTGTCTCCTCAGCCCAGGCCCCGCATGGCCTCCAGGCCTGTCTGGGGCCAGCAAGCATTTGCTGAGAGGATGGTGGTCACTTGTTACCACTGGGCCACCCCCAGCACCTGCAAGGATGCGGGCACTGTCCCCTGTCCCTGTGGCAGCAGCCCCCTTCCCTCCTCGTGTCCCTACCTCACCCGTGGCCCTGGCCCTGCAGCCTGGTGGAGCTGACAGAGGAGATCCTGAAGCTGCTGATGGAGCTGGTCTTCCGCTTGGTGTGCAGCGGGGAGCTCAGCCTGGCCCGCGTGCTCCGCAAGAACATCCTGGACAAGGTGGACCAGAAGAAGCTGCTCAGGTGTGCCCACTCCGACCAGCCCCTGGCAGCCAGGGGCGTAGCAGCCAGGTGAGCTGCCCGTGTCCGCCCACAGCCCCTCTGCCCCTGCCTCCTCTGGTGAGAGCTGTGCCCAGCAGCTACCTCTGCGCCCGTTTCCTTAGTGCACCTCCCCAGCCCCAGCCTCACGCCCCAGTTCTGCCAGGCCCTGACGAGGTGGCTCAGGGACAGCCTAGTGCAGCCGTGGGCAAACTACGGCCCGCGGCCGGATCCGGCCCGTTTGAAATGAATAAAACTAAAAAAAAAAAAAAAAAAAGACCGTACCCTTTTATGTAATGATGTTTACTTTGAATTTATATTAGTTCACACAAACACTCCATCCATGCTTTTGTTCCGGCCCTCCGGTCCAGTTTAAGAACCCATTGTGGCCCTCGAGTCAAAAAGTTTGCCCACCCCTGACCTAGCGGGTTCCCTGGGCGGAGCCTCTTCCCAGGGTTGTGAGTAGCATCGGTGAGCCACCTTTTACCAGGAAGTGGGGCACCAGGGTGAGTGGCCGCTTACCAGGGCCGGAGACAGATGGGCTGTGGTCAGCTCTTAATGAATTTCCTTCCCAGCACTCAGGTGGCAGCTGTTAATTCTCACCCAGCCCCGCTGTGCCATCCTGAACGTTCCCAAGACCCTGTATGTGGGTCCCGTGTGTTGCCTGCCCCTCTACCCGAGCCGGAGATGTTTGTTAGTGACTGTCTCCGCCTGCGTTCGCATGGTACCATCTCTGTCCCCCTGCGCCCTGCGTTCTCGGGCAGCTGAGCTGTCCATGGGCTCACAAGGGGACCTGCAGGACCCGCCCAGTAGTGGCAGGAGATGGGGCCAGCACCATGGTCCAAGCGGTCGCTCCTTCCAGTCCTAGCTGCGAGGCCCTCTCTGCTCCAGCTGTCCCTGTACATTCACCTCGGGCATCTGTCTTCCAGGCCAGGGACCCTGCATGACTTTCACAGCCATGAAATAGCCGAACAGCTGACCCTGCTGGATGCCGAGCTCTTTTATAAAATAGAGGTACGCGTGGGCGGGACTTGGAGGAGACTGGCCCTGCCGGGGGAGCCACCGCTGCTTGTCCCTGAATGAGAGAAACTCCCATCACGGGACAGCCAGCGGGTCCAGCCCCACCCAGTCTACTTCCTTTTTTCAGATTCCTGAGGTTTTGCTTTGGGCAAAAGAGCAGAACGAGGAGAAGAGCCCCAACCTGACCCAGTTCACGGAGCACTTCAACAACATGTCCTACTGGTAAGGCCATGGCACGGAGCCCGCCCGCGGCAGTTGTCCTGGGGAGAGCTCCGATGCTTCATCCCTCAGCTCCTTCTCGGCCTTGCGGGCGTTAACTGTGAACTGGGCAGCAGAGCAAGGGGCACCTAGAGCAGAGGCTGGTTGAGGAGCCAGGCGCGGCAGGGAAAGGTCCTGGAGCGAGTGCCAGTGTCTGCAGACACGGGTGACGTTTGCACACACACACACACACCCTCCCCCCACACTGGTCCTTGCAGTCTCCCCACTGCCAGGCGGGCAGCCTCAGGGCTCCTCCTCACACTGACTGCCCGAAAGCGGGCCTGCAGGAGTGGTGGCCATTAATACTTTCGTGTAGCCTTTAATCGGTAAAGCAAAATGGAGCCCAGAAGTGTATTAATAATGTAACATAGAACAGAACTGTCGGCTCTTCAAGGCATGACTCAAAAGCGCCCACAGCCTCTCAGCATCCGAGAGGTGGTCAGGGCGCAGCGGCCGTGCCGTCCTCACTGCATACAGCCCTCCGCAGCCATCGAGGGGTGGTTAATATTTTTAAAACGCTCCACGGGCTGCTTGTTCGTGAGAAATCAGGTCATCCCCAGCTTTCCCTCCTTTCTCCCCAACACGGCACGGCCGTTTGTAGCCACACATGGCCCTGAGCTCGGCCTCAGACCCAGCCCCGTGCTGGGCACAGGTCTCCCAGCACACCCCTGGGGGTCCGCCTAGGAGGGGTGCAGGTGGATGAGTATAGGCGCCCTCCAATGGGCAGAAGAGGCAAAGCAGAGGTGACCCTTCCTCCCAGTGACTGGCAGGGGCTGTGGGGAGATCACAGGGCGTCCGGGTCACCGTGAGGTCCTTGTGCGAGGCTAGCTTTGCCTTGGATGCTAAGGTTCTGAGCGGTGCCCTCGTTCGTGTCTGGCAAGGTGGCCTCTGAACCCACAGGCCTGCCCCCGCTGAGCTGGTCCTGAGACTGTGCCAGAGTCCATCCCAGTGGTGCTCGCTCCGCTCTGCTCAGGAGAGCTCTGCTGGCATCCTCAGAGCCCGCGTGGCCGGAGGTCCCCATCCTGGTGTTTGGCACCAGCCGCCAGATCTCTTGTGGCCTGTTGCCTCCCCCTGGGGTTCTGAGAGCTCCTGAGAGCCAAGACGGGCTGCAGTTGGTGCTGCCAAGCCTGGGGCACTTGAGACAAGCCATGGAGCGTCCGGCTGGGCCGTCTCCACCAGGACCGCACGGGGCCCTGAGGGAGTGCAGTCAGCTCAGCTCTCCTTCCCCGTCCTGCAGGGTCCGGTCAATCATCATGTTGCAGGAAAAGGCCCAGGACAGGGAACGGCTGCTCCTGAAGTTCATCAAGATCATGAAGGTAACCGAGCCCTGCCCCGAGCCTGCTCCTCAGCCCCACCCCGCCCCGCCCTCACAGCCCCTCGCCTCTCTCTGCAGCACTTACGAAAGCTCAACAACTTCAACTCCTACCTGGCCATCCTCTCGGCGCTGGACTCAGCGCCCATCCGCAGGCTCGAGTGGCAGAAGCAGACCTCAGAGGTGAGCTCAGAACAGGAATGGAGACTGGGCTTGGGTCCCTGCTCTGCCAGCGCCCAACTGTGTGGCGGGGACAGCCCACCCCCGCCTGCCCTAGTCTCCCACCTGCAGTCATTGGGCCCTGAGGGGCGTGTTTGGTGCTGGGACATCACATCGTCCTGCATCCTTCGCCACAGGCTGTGCCTTGGTCCCAGTGCACCTGCTCCTTCCTTCCCTCGGCCTGTGCTTCTAGAAGGCTGCTCTGGGCGGGCTGCATTAGGCATTGTGAACAGACAGACATGCTATTGGTGGGTTTCTTCAGGGTAAGTGCTAAAGGGAAAAGGATGGGGTGTTGAGTGAGCCTGGTCAGGGAGGCCCTGGGGAAGTGTTGGTGAGGCCAGGCCCTGAGTCGGAGCTTCCTGGGAAGGGAGGCGATGCCCATCAGGGCCAGAGGAGTGCACAGACTGGAGCTGGCGCCTCAGGCAGCAGGACAGGACCAGCGTGGCCAGTGGCCATGTCGCTGTGGGGGACTGGCCCTGATCACGGTGGCCTTGGGGGGCCTGCCAAGGGACTGGACCTTTATTCTGTGTGGAGGCCCAGCCCCCAGGGCTGAGCATTGGCTGGGCCGCCCGGGGCTGTCTGGAGTGACATACGAGGACGGGTATAAAACAGTATTGTTTGGGGAAGTGGGACCTCCACACCCGTTGCTCCAGGAAAGCATGAGGTCCTCAGGAGGCAGGGATGGCTTCTTGGAGGAGGTGACCCATCAGAGGGAGAGGCACCTAGCAGGCAAAAAGGCAGGATCAGCTGAGTCTCCCAGACAAGAGCCCAGGCTGCGTGCAGGAGCAGTGAGGTGAGGTCACCTGCCAACCTGGCGGACTTGGCCTTGAGCGCAGGGAGAACAAAGGAAGGCTCGGAGCTGGAGTAGCCGGTGCAGTGTGGGCTTTAGAGGCTCACTTGGGCTGTAGTCGGGCACAGCCAAGCGGGAGCCCGAGCTCCAGGTCCTGTGCACGTGGCGGGTGCTGACGGGGAGGAGTCACGGGCCGAGCAGGCACAGCAGGCCCTCTGCAAGGTGCTCCAGGGAGGTGGCCCCAGAAGGCCTGGTCTCCCCGCGGCTGGGCAGAGCCCAGGTCTGGTTCTGGGTGTGTGTGTGTGTGGGTACCCTCGAGCATTGGCAGAGGGTAGGGGACGACTTGGTCTGCGAGGAGGGGCCGGGCTGTGCCCAGCATTGTCCCAGGGCTCACAGACTCCACGTCCCTCCTGCACAGGGCCTGGCTGAGTACTGCACGCTGATTGACAGCTCGTCCTCCTTCCGCGCCTACCGGGCCGCCCTCTCGGAGGTGGAGCCGCCATGCATCCCGTACCTGTGAGTAGAAGCCCTGCCCGGGTTTGCCCCTCGGTTGCTCTGGAGATGCTGTATTGGGCTCCCTGAGAAACCTGCGCTAAGGGTCCAACCAAGACATTTGTACTGTCTCAACTCTAAACTGTGTGGCGCCGAAACCGGTTTGGCTCAGTGGATAGAGCGTCGGCCTGCGGACTGAAAGGTCCCAGGTTCGATTCCGGTCAAGGGCATGTACCTGGGTTGCAGGCACAATCCCCAGTAGGAGATGTGCAGGAGGCAGCTGATTGATGTTTCTCTCTCATCAATGTTTCTAACTCTCTATCTCTCTCCCTTCCTCTCTGTAAACTGTGTGGCAAGGAGTGCCTTTTACTTTTAAGCAGAATTGCGGGGTCCCGTGAAAATGTTCCATCCCCCTGTCCTGTTCCCACTTCTCCCTGGCCTGCAGGCAGCACGTCCAGGCGCGGACAGGCGGCAGCCTCCTTCCCCCGCAGTACATCGTGCCATATTCCACAGGCCTCAAACTCGGCTGCACGCCACAGCCACCTGAGGGCCCGGTCACCCCAGGAACCCTGAGAGCACTTGGCATGAAGCAGCTCAGAGAGCGTGTCCTCCATGTGGGCCCTGGAAGAGGGAGTACATAGGTGTTTCCTGGGGAGGGACCCTGTGGTCAGTAAATATAGGAAGTGACGGCAAATCAAAGCTAAACAGGCTTCTGTTGCAGGTCTGATCAGAGCCCTTAGTATGCTAGTGGGCACGGAGTCTCCAAAAGGGATGGGAGAGTCAGTCGGCACTGCCCCAGGGCTGGGTGTCTGATGGGATGTCCCTGAGAAACGCAGATTGGACAGCCGACTCCTCTCCCAGCCTCCCGGCCTCACTGCACTGCACTCTTTCCCGTGGGGGCTCGGTGACGGGTCCCTGGGCCCTCGGGCTGGGCCTCCCAGGTGGAGGGACTGCCACCACTGTTCATGTGGCTTCACGTCCTGTGTTTAGAGGCACCTGCTAACAAGAGGGCTCTGTCTCCTGCCCACTCCCAGCTTGGGGTCCTGTTATTTCTCATGTTCGTTTATGAATTTTACATGAGCAAGCCCACAACTCTGCTGGCTTCTGCTGCAGCGTCCCGTTCCCCGATGGTCCTGCAGGCCAGACAGTCACTGAGGCCTCCGTAGCAGCCCGGCCTCCAAGGCTCCTCCAGGACCTGAGCTGGCTTTCCCGGGGACCCAGGGTTTGGGAGCCGGGACTTCCGCTGGGAGAGACAGATGCCTCCCAGAGCGCGGGTGGCTTTGGTAGTTTCTCAGGCACAGCCCAGGGGCCGGGGCCAGGGCCGCATCAGCACTGGCTTGTCCTGGTGGCCCAACCGACCTGCCGGGAAAGCAGCCACCTTCTAAGTCACCTCCGGAGGGTAACTGGGCTCTCCATCCTCCCAGGGGGCTCATCCTGCAGGACCTCACCTTCGTGCACCTGGGGAACCCGGATTATATTGACGGCAAAGTGAATTTTTCCAAACGGTGGCAGCAGTTCAACATCCTGGACAGCATGCGCTGCTTCCAGCAGGCGTGAGTGCTCCCCGCCCTCGGCTCCTGGGGCCTGAGCAGAGACGGGAGGTGGCGAGGACCAGGCTGTCAGGAGGCCTGAGGGGCTCAGCACGGGATGGCCCATCGCCTGCACACAGGTGGCAGCCAGCCCATCCCCTTTCCCATACAAGGAAGCTGGTGACTGGTCTGCTGGCACACCGGCCCGCCGGACGCCAGAATAGTGGGTGGGTCCAGCGTCAGCAGTCCCCAGGGTGGGCCACGGCAGGAGTGGGGCCTGAGAGCGGGTCTCCCTGGAGCACCTGGAGAGGGCAGCCCAGCTGCAGGGATGCCGCTGGGGAGACCTTGCAGGAAGCAGGGCACAGCTTTAGGGTCTAGCGTGGGCTCTGCGTGCTGCTGACCTTGTCTGGGGAGCTCGGACCCCCCATAGGCTGTGGGCAGCAGGGCGCCTGCCACAGCGGTTTGCTGGGTGGTAGGGGGTTGCCGTTGAGAGGTCGTGGGCACTCACTGCTGCCTTCCTCCCCACCAGGCATTACGACATCCGGAGGAACGACGACATCATAAACTTCTTCAACGACTTTAGTGACCACCTGGCTGAGGAGGCCCTATGGGAACTCTCTCTGAAAATCAAACCCAGGAACATAACAAGGAGGAAAACAGACCGGGAGGAGAAGACCTAGGAGCAGCTGCCGTGAGCAAGGAGGATGCTCACAGAGGCTCAGAGTGCGGCTCCGAGACCCGAAGGGACTTTGGACCTGTTGTGTGGCAGCAGCGCTGTTCCGGCCTCCGCCAGGGGGCCAGCCGGGCAGGAGCCCTGAGTGCGGGCAGCTTCCTGCCTCCTTCCTCCCACGAGCGAGCCCACGGCCCGGCGCGGAGCCAGCAGGCAGGTCTCATTGCCGATTGTGAACTGGTGGTTTTCTCATTTGGTTTTGCTTTCACGTCCGTCTCCCCTCCCCGTCCCGCCTGATCCTCCTCCCACCTGGGAGCCGCGGAGTCTGCCCCCTCCCTGACTTCCAGGGTCCGGATCTGCTGAAATGATGAATGAGTGGAGGTTCAAGGACCCTGGGGGGGGCTGCTCCCCGGTGACCGTGAATGAAGGGACATGTAGCTGGGTGGGCAGAGAGCAGAGCAGGCTTGGGTGGGGCTCCTTTTGCCTTCCAGCCCTGCTTTCTAAGGTGGAGGATGGGCGCCGCTCACCTGGCCCTTTAGGTACGACAGGTGGCCCTAGCACCGCCCTCTGCCTGTGGGCACCGGGCTGCTGGCCGTGCAGTGAGTAGCAGTGGCTGCCCTCTCCCCTTGCCCTTATCTCCCCACCCCGTCACCTGGCACTGAGGGCGCTGGGAAGGGGAGGGTGGAGCAAGAGAGGACCTTACCCCCCAAGAAATGCGTTTTAGCTGAGCTGGGTTCGTAGCTCTTGGGTGAGTTAATTCAGAGAGAGGGGAGTGGAGGGGCGTTTCTGTCTAGGTGGAGGCCGCGGGCCCCCTCCTGTCGCTTGCTGTGTGCCTTAAACTCCACCTCCTGCTCCCTCCGGCCCACGGGCTCCCCTCCGACCTTGCTCCATACGGTGGGTGACAAGGACTCCTCACTGGTGTCCCCACCACTGTTGGCTCACCCTCGGAGGGACGGTGTCTCTGAGAGGCTAGGGTCTGGGCTGCCCGGCCACACCCCAGAGCAGGCTCGCTCGCTCGGAAAGCACCTTCGAGAACAGTGCTCTCCGCCCTCCTGTGCAAACCACTCTTGCTGCTGAGGTGACAATCCGAGGCCAGGTCTGCAGGCCGCTCTCAGGTGTCGGCCGGAGCTCCCACGCGCCGTGGGCTGGGACGGGCCTGCCTGTGCGCTCTGCTGTGCGTGGTGGAGTGCTCACCTGTCCTGGGGTTGGTACCTGGTCACGCAAACTCCAGGACTAACTGTGCTTAGCCCAGAACAAAGAAAAGGAGAGAGCAACATCCGTTGATTATTTAGATTCTGTTTGTAGAGAAGCCGTGTCACTTTGAGTCCTTCGTGGTTTTGATGAGCTGTTATCAGGAGCAAGGCTGGGCTGGCCTTCCCCTCTCGTTTGTCCGGGTGGAGGGAGAGGCTATGAAATGTCGGTTACGGTCCCTCTGGCGGTGGTCCTGCCGGCCGCGGCCAGAACACGTCACTTTACTATTTAAGAGTGTGTGTGAGTCACTGTTTACTGGCAGTGCAGCGTGTGGGTGGTTTCTAGGCTGTGCCTCGTTCCTCGGTCCTCGTCTCAGTCTTCCCAGCCGCCCACTCTGCCGCTGCGCTGGGCCCTCGGGGCTCCTCGGCGGTGGGAACCGGGGTTACCCTGCATTTGGGGGCACCCCCGGGTCTCCCTCCATAGCACAGGCAAAGACTCGGCCTCAGAAACCCAGCCACTCGCGGACAAGGCGTGTTTGCAGCCTGTCGGTCGGTTCTCAGCCATGAGCTGGTGGGGATGGGGTGGGGGCTCCACTTCCCTCAATTCAGAGGTGGCCCTACCCCCCCTCCCCGAGCCCGCGGTGGTCCGCACAGAGGGCCAGGCACCAGCGAGCGGCGCCGCGAGCCCGGTGTGAGGACAGCAGGTGCCATGTGTGCATGAACTGGCGGGCCGCGGGCTTCCCCTCCCGTGCCTCATTAAGACGCCCTCTTGGCTCCGGGAGTTACCAAACCCCACGCCAGCACCGCAGCCCTGCCATGAACTGTCTGTCTTGGGGACAGGGTGTGGGGCTTGATCTTCAGGACAGACAGACAGACAGACATGACCAGGACGGTTGGGTTCCCCGCAGGTGGGTAGAGCGAAGGAGAGGGCAGGCTGGCACCACATCTGAACTGAACCTGAGAAGCACCTCCCACCACCACCCACCACCCCGCCCCCAGTGTTACATTGTAATATATATTCCCGACTAACGGCTGATAGGGCAGCTTCCTGCAGACATTTCAAATGTGTAACTTTTATATGAGAGGAAAATAAATACAGGTGACAGCCACCTGTGTGCTACCGCGTGTCAAAGTGATGGTTGTCAAAGTGATGGTTCAGGCGCCTCCTTTTCTGTGGCTCCTCTCGGACTGGCTGCTGTTGGGGTGGTGTCTCCCACACTAGCTCCTGTCAGAGGCCTGGGCTCCATCTACCGTCAAAGGCCTCAGAAGCAACCTCAGAGGCTCCAGGTCTGTCCATGCACCAGGCCAGGCTTCGGGTGCAGTGGCCATTTGGTGTCCCAGGGGACGAGAAATGGCCCTCACTCATTTACACCAGCACCCAGGTGTCCACTGGGTGCATCATTCCGGAACCGGTGAGGTCGGGTTTGGGTCCTTTAGTCCTGCGTGCTCAGAACATGCTGGAGGGACATGGCTCCTGGCTAATGGGCTCTGGTCCTGGCTCCGCCGCCCATAAGCCAGTGGCCGTGGGTACGCGGTGCCTTCTCTGTTCCCAGCTGCTCAGCTATAAGGGGCCCTCCCAGCTTCCACCGCGTGAGCTCAGCGAGCCGCAGCCTGAAGCAGTGTCTGGTGAGCTGTTGCCACTGGTACGACTCACCCAGCATGAGTGGGCACCACGCACTTTGCAAACAGCTTTACCTCATTCATCCTCTTCATTTAATGTCACACGAGGGAAATATCACAACCATGGTAAGTGCTACAAAGAAGAGGTACTTGACATTACACAGTTAAATCTGGTTTGAAATCCTGACGGGCGTAACAGGTACTTTATGTCAGACAGACAGGAGCGTCCGTCTCACACGAGCCCCGAGAACAGCAAGGGAAACACTGCTTGCCTCATTTCAGGAGTAGAATACAACCTTGGCATCCAATCCAGACAAGGACAGCGCAAGAAAATTACAGGCGAATGCTGACGCAGAAGCGCCAGAGTAACCTTAGCCCCAGCCCGGCACTAAAAACCAGTCCTCCCTGACCATGGGACGCATCCGCAATGCAAGGACAGAGTGGCATTCGTAAGTTGGCCGTGTGCTTGGGCACCCATGTGCCCTCACTAAGGGCCCTGTCATTCATCCCAGTCCCGGGCCTGCTGGCTGCTGTTGGCGGTTTTGCAGAAGTGGATGGATGTCCCCTCGAAAAGTTACAAATGGAACTGCCTTTGACCCACCGATCCCGCCTGGGTAAATATTTGAAGAAACCCCAAACACTGTCCGCTGCAGCATTATTTACAATAGCCAGGGTCTAAACGCAACCCATGTGCCCATCAAAGGACGAGTGGGTAACAGCCCTGGTGCGTGTATAGAATGGCATGTACCACTCAGCCCCCAAAAGAATGCAGTCTTCCCATTGTGACAGCATGCCGGGGCCTAGAGGGTGTGGTGCTGAGTGAAGGAAGCCAGAGAGACAAATGCCATGTGATCTCACTGATGCTCAGAGTCTAAAGAACAAAATGAGTGGGTGTGCCTCTCCCGGCCGTGCAGACTCCAGGGGTTGACACGCAGAGTCCCACGTGAAGGAGCCCAGACTGGCCGCCCACCACCCACACTGGACTTCGTGTGAATGAGAAGGGAACTGTGCCAGCTGAGCTACCGCCAGAGCTTACAAATTTTCACAGCGCGGCCCTGCCGCCCCTGAATGCGATGAGCAGATAAAAGGAAGGACACTCAGAACCACCTCCATGGCCAGACTTTAAAAAAGGGCACCAGCTTGAGCAGGGACGTCATACAGAGACTCTGAAGAGCTGGTAACAGGCTCCACGTCGTCAGTCATCGGAGCCACGCTGAGCCGCCGCCACAGCCTCAACCCCAGAGCTGCTGAACCGCACGCCACGGCAACACCAGGGTGGAGAGCGAGAGCGACTGGAAGGCCCTCCATGGTGGGTGGGAGCGCAGCCTCTCCCTGGGCTGAGGTGATAGCGCCACGGCTTCCTCGGGAAGCTTCCTCAGCACTCGGCAAGCACCACGGTGCCACCCCAGCTGGCCGCAGACATTTCACCCCGAAGCCAGCGTTCTCTCTCACTGCACATGTTCCATTTGCCCAGCCGCTCCCTCCAGGGCGCATCAGCACAGTCACTCATGACGCCGTCCGTCTCCACACTGGCCCCGAGCCTCCGGAAGACAGTCTCCTCCACCACGGCGAGCCCTAAAACTGGGCCTGCTGAGGCCAAAGGCAGCGCATTTTCTTCATTTTTAATGACACGACGTATGAATCCCATCGTCAGGTTCAGCCATGCGTGGCGCCCCCGCTCCTGGTCCCCGGGCAGCCACTGCCAGCAGTTTGCAACTTCCTTTCAGACACTGTCCTTTGCACATGCGCGAATGTAAGTCTAGGGCACATACCTTATCGACAGGCAGACACCACAGTGTACTTCCCACCACAGGGAGGCGGCAGCCTTCCTGATCTGTCCCCAGCCTGGCCAGGACCTCTGCTTCTGTGGGACCGGATCTCTCGGCCCCTCCCTCTGTGGCTTTCCAGATTCCCAGGGCCTCCCCAGCTCCCTGGTTACACAGCACCCTCCCGGGCTCTCTCCTGTGTGTGGGACTCCTAGACTCTTAGCTCTGTAATCCAGCTGCAGTTCACTTTTCCATACAATTTGAGAAGAATTTTTTCCAACCACATAGCCAACTGCTTATTCTGAGTCCTCCTTGACCCACTCAGTTAAAAGGCCGTTTTGATCAGGTAGTAACTCCCCACACACACTGGGGACGTTTTCTGGATGTTCTGTTGGCCGTGCTGTCTTAGGTATTGTAGCTCTATGATAAGCTTTAATAGCCAGGGAAAACAGTCCCCTCATTCAATTCTCTAAACAATTGTAAGTTTTTACACATTTCCTTTCTATTTTTAAAAACTTGTTATAGTTTTAAAACAAGAAAAACGGTTTTCTTGTTGGGATTTCATTAAATCTCTAAGAATGCTACATATTCTTATACATCTTCCTATCCAGATATTTTGTTCAATTTTATATATATAGGGTGTCCCCCCAAAATGTACACACACACTTTGAATAATTATAAAGGCAGTTTATTAAAATACATTTCATTTTCAAAACTATTAGTGTATATGCATTTGGGGGGGACCTGCTGTATATATAAAGTTATATATATAATTAAGAATTATTTTCTTCACTTGGGCCCAAATCATTCTTGTCAAAGTTATTTCTAGATTTTACTGTTTTATCACTACTGTGAGTGGAATTTTTCAAAATTTTTTCCATTTTAACTGATTATTGCTAATGACTATCACATTTATTTTGTATCCAACTATTTTACTGAGTTATTCTAATTTTTTCTTTGATTCTTGGATATTACAGCTAGAAAATCGTTTTGTCTGTTTTGACAGACAGACTGCAAGTTTCATACTACAAATTTCACTTTGTTGTTTTTTACATTAGCTAGAACCTTAACACAGTGTTGAATAATAGAGACACTAGGGGCCTCCATGGATTGCTCCTGCAGAATGGTTTTTAATGGTTTTAATCCCCATTTAATGTGCCGTTTCCAGTCGGCTCCTTAGCTTCTGCTTCACTGGGAGCTCATCAGAGATGCGGACTCTCCGCTCCCACGTCCTGACTCCGAGCCTGCCCTCTGCAAGATGCCCGCGTTTCGTACCCGCAGAGCTGGGCACGGTCCAGGGACTTCTTTCCTTGGAGTTTACTTAGTTCAGTATGAACAGCTGTTGCTGTGGGTTCTGCAAGTCCTCTGCACTGTTCCTTCTCCTCTTCTGGGCCGTTTGCATGAGGGTGACTGACATGCCGACTGGCCCAGCCCCCAGCCAGCTGTGCGCATTGCCGACGCCCTGGCCCAAGGCTCCCAGCATCTCCAGGGCTGAGTCAGGCGTCTGCCTCCACCCGGTGACAGGAGCCAGGAGCCAGGAGCCAGGGCTGTGGGCAGCACCCAGAGGTGTAGAAAGCAGGCGATTGAACGCGAGCTGCCAGTCTTCTCTGGCCCAGCGGGGCCTCCCTCCTCTCCGTGCAGATGGTTTGTCATCTTGAGTCACAGGCCCCTTGAGAATCTGGTGAAAGCTCTGGGCCCTTGCAGGAGCGTGCCCATCAGTGAGTGGCCTCCCATCTACTGAGTGGGAGGTGCCCGGCTGCCCTGCTACTCACGGTGAGACCCTCAGGCCCTGCCCTCCCCTCCCCTCGGGCTGTGGAAGACCCTATGGAACCGCCACCATCACCACCAAGAGCACCTGAGCCCGGCACTGTGCTGAGCACCCACGGGTCCCCTCCCTGGTCCGCCCAGGGGTCCAGGGCAGGCCATGCCACGGCCCCTTACAGAGGAGGGAAGCCCACTCCCTTGAGCAGCGAGGAGCTCTGAAGGCCAGGACTGGACCAGCCAAGGAAGTTACTGTAGGTCACAGTGCCCCCTTCTAGTGAGTCAAAGGGGGAGGTGTGGGGGCCCAGCTGTTGCCCCCACTTTGCAGATGAGGAATCAGACACATGGCTTTGGTTTCTGGACACAGCGGGTGAGAGGCAGGGCCCTGACCAACCAGCCAGGAGCTACGGAGGGAGGAGGCCACGCCCACCAGCCCCATGGGAACCGGAACCCGCAGCTGTGCCCTGCGACCTGACCAACCCAGCAAGGAGGCCAGGAGTGCAGTGCCCCTCCCCCACCCCGATGGCGCTGAGGACACAGACTTCTGGTCCCTCTGATGGTCTCCTGGGGGTAAGGTGAAGGCAGGGGCCTCGGGCCGGCCAGCAGTCCCAGGAAGACCTCAGGAGGAGGCACCAAAGAAATGGGGCTTCCGGGGCCCCCATTCCTCAGCTGGGCCTGGGCCCTGAGACCACTGCAGATTAGAACACTGCCCCTCAGGGCTGAGGCAGCCACGGGTGTGCTGAGTGCGCCAATCCCTCCCGCTCCTGCCCCCGGGTCCCCTCTGTAGGCAACAGATGGCCCCAGCAGGGATCACAGTCCACAGCAGTCTGGCAGGGTGGGTGTCGGGCATCCTGACGTCCCCGAAGCAGCCCCCAGCCTCACGGGAGGTAGAGGGCCACCAGCACGTAGATGACCCAGCTGGTGGACACGAAGACCCCGAAGAGCAGGCTGAACAGCACGAGGGAGCGGGCCTTGCGGGAGGCCTCCTCTGCCTGGGCCAGGTCTCCCCGGCTCAGGGCCGAGCGGGTCTGCAAGCAGACAGAGTGAGGATGAGCCCACTGCGCCCCCACCTCCCATGCAGCACCGTCGGGCCAGGCCCCAGTGTAGACTGGGAAACGGGCACCCTGAGAAGTTTGGGGCCTGCCCAGGAGCAATCGGGTGATGGCTGTCAGCTCTCGGGCACCTCGTGGGCTGGGCACGAGCCACACCCTCGCCCTGGTCTCCTACATCTTCCAACAACCCCAGATGCTGGTGTCTTTGTTGCCCCCACTTTGAGATGAGGAAACAGGTTCAGAGAAGTTAAGGGACTGTCCTAGGGTCACACAGCTGGTGGCAGAGCCAGAGTTCACAGACACCTCTGAGCTGTCCTGAGAGCTGCCTTCTCCCCACAGGCCTGGCTTACGGTGGGGGAGCTGGGGGTGGGGGGGTCAGGGCGTGGCCAGCTCAGCCTCGGGCAGAGACCCCAGAAGCTCACCCACTCTGTCAGAACACCCCCATTGGCATGACTGGATCCCCAGAGCCTGACCCTGTGCAGGGCAGTGGTTGGGGGGTCGGGGGTGAACAGATGGAGACTGAGAGATGGTGGGGGCAGGGTGGGTGGTAAGTGGGTGAGAGACGGGGGCAGCTGGGTGGTAAGAGGAATGAGTGGGTGGAGGGGTGCACACAGCCCCCTGGGATGGCAGCTCCTTGGGCCTGGGCAGCCACTCACGCTTCATCGTGAGCTGTGGGAGTCCAGCCGCCGGAGCAGACCTTGAGTGTGGGCAGGGCCAGGGGAAGGAGGTGTCCATCCGCGGGGACAAGGGCCAGAGACACTGCACAGATTCCCAGTTCCCGCCCCCTCCTGAGAGGGACACGCTGGACGCCCAGCTCCTGGGGGAGGGGCTCGCAGACCAACCGGGCCGGGTGCCTGCTGGGAGGTGCACCAGGGCCGCCCCTACCTCGTGGGAGTAGACGATGGCGAGGAGCCCGGTGAGCAGGCAGCAGAAGAGGGTCACCAGCACCGACTCCATCATGTAGTCCTTGGGCAGCGGCCTGTGCTCCACCGTGGCGGGCGCGGGCACGCCGGCCAGGGCTCTGTTGT